GCTCTGCGTGTGTGTGCGGGAGAGCCTCTCTCTTGGCCGATTAGTATTAGTGTTTCTTTTGAGCGTTTGTTTTTTGATAGTGTAGAGTTTTGGGTTTCTTTTGGAAATGCCAAAACATGGCCAAGTCTGTTGTTGGCCAGGTTACACAATGCGAGGGGGGGGCGAAGTAAAACAATTCTCGGCGACTACGTCATCAGTTTAAGCTCGTCAAAGCTCCCGGAATCGGGGTAACCAAGGCAGTAACACACACAACACAATAATAACTGCTCCAATTTAGCCTTTTTCACTACGATTTATTGATCTGCAGTTTTAGCACCTGCCTTTCACGTTTTTATGTGAAAATGTCGTATTTAATTTAATAAACGTTTGCCGAGAGCGGAAACAAGGAGAGCCAGAGTCAGAGAGAACTAACTGTTGCATATGCCGCCCCGTTTAAGCCACGCTCTTCTCACACACACACAGACACTAGCACCAATACAGCTGCAGATCAATGCTCACTCATTCGAATGAGCCACAATAGACCGTAACGCGCGCTTTAAACCGGAATTTTGGACCCAACCTCACCTTAGCACTGCTCGAAAGTAACTGAAACTGAAAACTGAATCTGACTCACAAGCTCTCGAATCGAGGGCTAACCATCGTACTGTCCCGCTCACTCGCTAGCTTGCCGTGTGTTGAGCGACTTAGTGTGCGTGGAAAAGCTCAGCGTGGGGCAAGTTACAACTGTACGCAGCGCTGTTAAGTGACAGTTAACAGTGGCTCAAATGCAAGCTTGCGTTAACAGGGGTCAGCGCTGCTAAATATATGCTTTGGATTTACACAGAGAGAAAAACGTAGTGGCTTCATGTGGGTAGTACTAATTAAGGTTTAACAAAGCATTTATTTGGGTAATTGTTAGGAGGAAGTTGGGTTTTAAGCATTTAAAATACTATCTGTAAATGCCCTGTCTTAATTTAACAACTGTTAAATTATATTTCTTATTTAAAGCTTTTATATTTCTATGACCTTTTTTCCTTAGAGGAAATACTAATTGTAAAGGTCTTGCTGTAACATTTCTGCACATTCCTACCAACAGCCATGGTGGTCTTTTAACAGCATCTTGAAGCCAACTCAAACATTTTCTTACCACCTCAAAGCTCTTGGCTTGCGGCTCTCTCAGCTGCATTAGTAGGCCAACAAGTTAAGCGCTTTTTGTGCATCGTTTTCAAACTGAACTCAGGTAACATAAAAAGCGTCGTCGGAACAGGCATGTGTTATTTGTATTTTACGTTGAAAAATGTTTTCAAAACCGGTTTTCTTTTTCACACACAGAAACGCAAACCGACTTCTTCTCTGGGGCGTGTAGTCAACGAGTTGACACTGCCTTATTTTATGTAATCTACATAAAATTGGGGGAGTGTTCAAAGGGAAGTCAGAGGAGGAATCGGAATTCGAAATGGAAATGGTAAGTGACATTTCATATTTTCTTATCTCGTGACTCGTGGGTTTAATTACTTTCACTGCCTTTCTCAACAGCAGTCGGCCGACCGCAGCATAAAAACCAACAATCGAATCAACCTGCCCAGGAAAATTCCTCGGAAAATGTTGGATTCTAATTATACGCGTCACGCGATGTCGCTTTCCATTATATTTGCCGTCTTGGATTGTTGTTTTGTTTCAGCAAACCTTGTTTAAGGCTGCTAAAAATAGTGTAAAATAGAGTACTGCAAGAAGCTCTTTATTTTAAAAGTAAAATAAATAAATTTATCTTCTTCAGTTTCAAAATAACGTTAACAAAATAACATTTCAACCTAATATAAATTTATATGGTAAGACTGAGAAATTCAAACTCCATCGGTTTTTAATTGATTTATAAATTATTCCATTAGTGGGATTATTTTCCACAGAGAATATTAAATTCGGCTTGGAAATACAAAAATCATTTCTCATTGTTTTCATAGTTTCTTCGCGTGTTTGCCGCATAAACAACACACAATTATTTACTATTTGATTAGGCTACAAACTTTCATGTAAGAAAACTCAAAAGAGGCGTCTAAGAGGAGAAAATATTTTGCAGGTCAAGTCGATTCCATTACAGCGGTTATATCACGATGATCTAATAAAAATCTCCCCTCCCCATATGCATAAAATCCAACTCATCTGCCAAGACAAAGGGGGTCAAGTTTAGTGCGAAAATACACGAGTGCGAAGCAAAAAAAAAACTAGCAAGTGCTAATGTGCCATAATAATGGCCACAAAAAAAGACAAAGAGATGAAAAGCAATTGAGGCATTTGTGGCTTTAAGCGAGCTTAACCAAGAGAGTCATTTACCAAGGGAATTCTCTCCAAGAACGGGCTTGTGGGGTGAATTAGATTATTTTTAGCCACAGAATTTCCACACAGAAGGGCTTGGGTTTGAGTGAATGATTACTTTGTGGGGTGCCAAGGAAAATGATGTAATAAGGAAAGCACACGCCCGGAAAATTCTATCTAGACCGAAAATCAGCATGCAATGCCATCAATAAAGTAAACAAAGATTGCGCCTTGGTGTGCGAGTGCGAATGGAAAACGTGGAAATGTGGAAAATCGTACATACATGTGCGCAATTTTCTTATTGAACAGATGCTCGAGGGCGGAATAAGTGGGTCAGAAATTGTAGCGGGCTTTAATATTATTTTTTCGCCCGACTTTTATGTTGTTGTGTTCTGGTCTACTTACCATCAGTTCCTTGTGCGGCGTGTTGGGATTGCTCCGCAATAATCCCTTCAAGAAGATTTCATCGTGGTCGGTCAGGTCAGTGGAGTTCCGGAAGGCGGCTGGAAAAGGTGGAAATGCGTTTAAGATAAGCGAACTCGTAAAAACCTAATCGGCAAACTGAAGAAATGACAATCGTTTTGCCAGCTTAAGAGCTGTCTTTCCGAAATTGGATTGTTAATAATACTTGAGTGACAAGCTAAACAAACTAAAAAATAGTCGTTAAAAGTCCTTATAAACTTTAAAATACTTATCTAAATTGGCTATTCGACGTTTCTTAATTTGTTCAAACAGTTCTATAAATCTAACAGTTAACTATAAACAAGTTTGATGTGAATTTTGTCAGCACAGTTGAAATGAAGAAAGACTATATTTAATGCAAACAGGTTTCTTTAACCACGGCAACAAAATTTAAATAACAATATTATTGTTTGAGCTTTCTTTGAGCAAGTAAAATCTACAAATAATTTCAGGTCTTTTCAATAATCCTTCTATGCAGAGATAGTTTATTTATACAATTTTTTAGTCCACTCTATTTGCACAACGCTGCCATAATACCACAACTTTTTTTGCAAACTCCCCCTGCCACTTACCATTATCGGACGTATCGTCCTCGCCGTTCACTTTGTTGTTGCTGGCCAATAGCTCCACTTTATCCTGGCGCGCTTGACGGCGCGACCGAGCGCTCCACCGCACCATTGTGGCGCCAAGGATAAAAAGAGGACAGAGAGGATAGCCGGTCAGGGAAGGGGTAGAGAATGTGTAACAAACACTGGGCAACTGGGAGGTGGCCAAAAAATATAAACCCGAAACCGAAGCAAGGAACTGCTTTTATTCACAGGAGGTGGCCTCGAAGGGGAAAACTAAAATCACTAAGTTTCGTAGCATATGTTCATGTTATGCTTTCTGCAATTCTAATAATCACTTGTTGTTATTGTTATTATAAACACACGATAAAGCCACGCAACCAACAAAAACAAATGTGGGGGAGATGAGGCGTCAGTCACTGCGCCAGCGATGGAGAAACAACAACCGTCTTGTTTATGAGAGAGTGTATAACTGGAAACCCGCTTTTGCTGCATGCTGCCAAAATCAAAGCTCAGTATATTTCGAAAAGCTTTTGCAGGTGTAATTTTAAATAAGGTGTTTCTATCGATTTTTGAATATTTTCTATCGGCTATCGTGGCGCCAATTGCTTAAGCGTTTGGAAACTTTAAAGTAGCGGTCACTCTAAAAACAATAACACTGTTTTAATTATGAAATCAAATAAATTAATCCTTATATTAAATTCGCTAAGGTTTTAGAAATATTATTTATTTTTTAAACTAGATATTGCATTTTCTACGAGGGAGATCCCAAGTGCCACCAAAATGTCCCCAAATCCAAATCTTAATTAATAAAAAAAAAAAATTTAAACAAAAGTTGGAAAATAAAACAGTTTTCTATTTTCGGAAAGAGAAAAATTTTAATTTAATATATTAAACTTTAAAATATATCGCAGTCGAGCTTAACGATTGTTTAGGTTAATCGATTGCAGTGATAAGTGTTATCAAGACTATCGATAGCTTTTCCAATTAACATTAAAAGGGTGAAAAAATGTGGGCCGACACAATTTTAATTGTTTTTATATCTGTGTGCACCGCCTTTTTGGGCGAAGGTGAGTGAAACTGATATCAACTGACTGCCACTAATCATTTGCGCCCCAAAAGGTCTCACCTGGGTGCTGGTATACCGCACGGAAAAGTACCAGAAACTGAAGACTGAGGTGGAAAAACAGAGCAAGAAACGTAAGTTGTGGAATCGCCAGTCATGTCAGCAGGTTACATGTTGTTCCCTCTTACAGTGGAGCGCCGCAAGGAGATCCATGGCGACTCTTTGGACAAGGCGGTCAAGAAGAAGATCGAGCGGGACGAGGAGAAGCTGAAGAACAACAACCGCGACCTGTCGCTGGTGAAGATGAAGTCCATGTTCGCCACCGGCTTTGCGTTCACTGCCCTGCTGAGCATGTTCAACAGCATCTTTGACGGCCGCGTAGTCGCCCAACTGCCCTTTACGCCCATCTCCTGGATCCAGGGTCTCAGCCACCGCAATCTGTCCGGTGATGACTACACTGACTGCTCGTTCATCTTCCTGTACATCCTGTGCACCATGTCCATCCGCCAGAACATCCAGAAGCTGCTGGGCTTTGCGCCGTCACGTGCCGCCAGCAAGCAGGGCGTCGGTCTTTTTGGACCCGCTCCCGGTCAGTTTAAATAGAAAATTTGTAGTTTTGTTAATAATAATAGATGCATTTAGCCCATTTAATGCACACCAAACAAAACAATCCTAGCTTAGAACATTATTTAGCTCGTACATGGGCTGGTCCACAATCAGCCTGTCGAAGCTCAGGCGCGAGAGGTCAATGGTTCGGAACTGGCCGTCCATGATCAGCTCCGATATGGCCCGGCCTACGGCCAGCGACTGCTGGATGCCGTGCCCACTAAATCCGGTGGCGACATACAGGTTGTGGTAGTATGGATGGGCGCCCACAATGCCGTTTTCATCGTAGACGTTCTGCTCGTACAGGCCAGCCCAGGAGTCCACCACATTGGCCTCGCCCAGCGAGGGCACTCTCGTCGCCAGCGTGGGTCGGATATGCTCGTCAAAGTACTGCGGATCCACCGCCATCTTATCGCCGACATCCTCCTCCGCCGAATTGTGGCCGCATATGTAGTTGCCACCCAATCCGTCGCGGCGTATAAACGTGCCAGAGGGATCGACAGTCAGCGGCATGGCCATGCCGGGGGCATTCTCCGCTTGCGTGTTGATGGCGTACAGGTAACGCTTGCGCACGTCAATGGGCAGTGGTACCTGCAGCATGCCCGGACCGACTCCGATGCGCGCCAGTCGAGCCACCTGCCCGGAACTGGCTCCCGCTGCTATCACGCACAGGGCAAACTTGCAGGTGCGCCGCGTTCCATCGGATAGCTGAATGATAGCCTTGTCCAGGCCAGTGTAGTTGCCCTCGTCGGAGCCGGCATCCCCGACCACAGATATGTCCGTTTGGGAATGGAAGTCAAAGTCCACCACCTCTCCGCTGACGAAGTGTGCACCGTAACCGCTGGCCGATCGGCGGAAGTTGCTGAGCAAGGCCAACGAGTTGAACCAGCCCTCCTTTTCCAGGCCATGGCAGCCCACAGCGATGCCCTTGGTATTCAGCCAGGGAAATCGTGTCGCCAGTCGATCTGCCGTCAGCAGCTCGTTCCTGGCTCCAAGTTCGTTTTGCAGTTGGGATGAACGCAGCAGGCTTTCGGCTTGTTCCTCGCCGGCAAGACACAAGTGGCCATGCGGCGTGAATTGCAAGGGCACCTCGTTGCCAAACTGTTCCCTGGCGTTGCGCAGGAAGTCGGCGGCAAAGAGCGACATCTGAATGTTCTCAGGCAAGGAGAATTGCTGGCACAGACCACCAAGGGAGACGCGGGTGGCAGCTTTGGCGTACTGTAATTATTAGGTATCTCAGTAAGGTAAGGAAGGCTACAACTCTTTCCACTCACCGTGTCATCCTTCTCCACCACAACCACGTTGAGGCCATCGCGCGCCTTCTCCTTCAGCCAGTACGCTATTGAGCTGCCTATACCGCCGCCGCCAATAACCAGCACATCGCAGTGGGTTTGAAACTCGTCCGGCAGTGTGGGATCTCGGGTACGCTCCCCCTCAAACTTGAATTTGCTCTGGGTGAGGATACGGTCGCCTTGGTCCTCGGAAACCGGGTCCTTTGGCACAAAGAACTCCTTTATCTTGCGCATATCGTTGCCCAGCAAACGAAATGTTCGCCGAATCGGGTGTTTGTCTTCATCGCCAGTGCCTCCACTGCTCCCGGCTGCTCCGGCCGAGTAGGAGCGACTCTGGATAAGACGCACCGCATGCCTGTACCGCAACATTTTGGATTTCTTATTTATAACGCGGCTATAATTCACATTCCGTGTTTTGGGTTTTGTTTGGTAACAGTGATAACGTGCAAAATGTTATCGGTTGTGCTGCCTACACTTTCCAACACTGTCAGCCAGCTGAGAAAGAAGAAGAAGAAACACTATATCTATCGATAGTAAAATCGATTTGTTAGCATCTCTAGAAGCATTACTCGGCATTTTTGATTTTGATTAAAAGAAAATTAAGAGTTCTACAGAATGACCAGCGCAGTGGATATCGGTGCCCAGGACGTGGAGATGGAGGTGGATCCCACCGCCGAGACGCTGGCAGACGAGAAGAAGAACCAGGATGGGGCTGCCGTGCTGGAGATCCGCGAGCAGATTCGCCAAATCGAGAAGGGGGTGTCGTCAAAGGAATCGCGGTAAGAACTCGAAGGGTCTGTAAATACCCCGGATTTCATGGTTACTCCTTCATCCTTCAGCTTCATCCTGCGCGTGCTGCGCAACTTGCCCAACACACGCCGCAAGCTGAACGGCGTCGTCTTCCGCAATCTCGCCCAGAGCATATATCCGCCTGGAGCGGATCGCGAAGCTGCTCTTGCCCTGATGCCCGCCGTGGAGAAGGACGCCACTGAGCTGCCCGATGTGCCCAAGAAGCAGGTCGCGAGCAAGGCTCCGATTGCCGAGGTGGATGCCTACTTTTATCTGCTGTTGTTGGTGAAGCTGATCGATGCCAGTGACCTGCAGCGTGCGGGGGTTTGCGCCGATGCCCTGATGGCTAAGATTTCGATTCAGAACCGTCGAACCCTGGATTTGATCGGAGCCAAGTCCTACTTCTACTATTCGCGCGTGGCGGAGCTGAAGAACTCACTGGAGGGCATCCGCGCCTTCCTGCACGCCCGCCTACGCACTGCCACACTGCGCAACGATTTTGAGGGTCAGGCGGTGCTTATTAACTGTCTGCTGCGCAACTATTTGCATTACGCTTTGTATGATCAGGCCGACAAGCTGGTGAAGAAGTCCGTGTATCCAGAGTCGGCCAGCAATAACGAGTGGGCTCGTTTCCTCTACTATTTGGGTCGCATCAAGGCCGCCAAGCTGGAGTACAGTGATGCGCACAAACATCTGGTCCAGGCTCTGCGCAAGTCCCCGCAACACGCCGCCATCGGATTCCGCCAGACCGTGCAGAAGCTAATCATCGTGGTGGAGCTGCTTCTGGGCAACATTCCGGAGCGCGTGGTATTCCGACAGGCCGGTTTGCGACAGTCTCTAGGCGCCTACTTCCAGCTCACGCAGGCCGTGCGTCTGGGCAACCTCAAGCGATTCGGCGACGTCGTTTCCCAGTTCGGTCCCAAGTTCCAGCTGGATCACACCTTCACCCTGATTATCCGACTGCGCCACAACGTGATCAAGACCGCTATCCGTTCCATTGGACTCTCGTACTCTCGTATCTCGCCGCAGGACATTGCCAAGCGTCTGGTCTTGGACTCTGCCGAGGACGCCGAGTTCATCGTATCGAAGGCCATCCGCGATGGAGTGATTGAGGCCACGCTGGATCCGGCCCAGAACTATATGCGCAGCAAGGAGAGCACCGACATCTACAGCACCCGGGAGCCGCAGCTAGCCTTCCACGAGCGCATCTCGTTCTGCCTGAATCTACACAACCAGAGCGTCAAGGCCATGCGCTACCCGCCGAAGTCCTACGGCAAGGATCTAGAGAGCGCCGAGGAGCGGCGCGAGCGAGAGCAACAGGACCTGGAATTGGCCAAGGAGATGGCCGAGGATGATGAGGATGGTTTCTAAAGCTGCAGCTGCTGCGGATGCAAATCGATTTGTACTTGTATTCATTTTTCATAGAAACATACTCCCCAATTAAATAAGTTACAAACATTTTATGAAGGATTTTTATTTAAAAAATTTATTTGTAGATGTATAAAGGAAGGTTTCAGTTACCAAATATGGTATTATCTTGTATCGTAATATATGAACAGAGACGGGCGAATATCTAATAACATTAAGAAAGAAAGCTAACTTTGGCCAGCCAAAGTTTGTATACCCTTGCAGGTAACAATTAAAATAGATCATAACTAAGCCAAAAATGCATTAATTTCGATTCGGAAAGCAGTTTTGTGTTAGTATTTAGTTAATTTAGTTAATTTAAAAAAACTGCATACAAATTAAAAATTTTAAGAAATCAAAATTTTTGGACATTTTTGCTAATTTTAATGATGTAACCCCTTATAAAATTTCGCAAAAATGGCCAAAAAATCGATTTCTTCCGGACATGTCTAGAAAGATTCGCATGTTAATGCTGATCAAGAATATATATGGTTTATGGGGTCGGAAATGATTCCTTGACTTAGAAAAATATTATTTTGTATTATAAAATCTGATTTTTTATATTAAAAAACTTCTTGATTTTTTTAAATTAAAAATATCATAACTTGGCCAAAAGAGCATTAATTTTAAATCGGAAAACTGTTCTGTGCAAGATTTTTTACAGTTAATAAATCTGCATACTTCATTTAAAAATTTTGAAAATTCAATTTTTTATCAAAATCAAACATTTTAATGATGTAACCCCTTATAAAATTTTCCAAAAATGGCCAAAAAATCGATTTCTTCCTGACATATCTAGAAGGATTCCCCTGTTGATGCTGATCATGAATATATATACTTTATAGGGTCGGAAACGTCTCCTTCACTGCGTTGCAAACATCTGACTGAAATTATAATAAAAATCATAAAGTAACTAAGTAAACCACTTGTATTTTGGAATTATATTAAAAACCCAACAAAAATGGTTAATAAATCAGTTTAAGTGGCATAATGCACAGCATATTTCCTGTGAGGATATCAAAGCCTGGCTTTGATTTACAAGCACCTTTGCCGCCATAAGGACACCCTTCCTTTCCTGGCTAATGACGTGTGAAATTCCCACAGAAACCCATGCGAATGCTGGCCATGGACACTTGAGCGACGAGCTGCCACTTAGGAAGCCCTCTTTACATCCCAAATCTCTCACCGCGAGCCACATTCCCCTTAGCTTATTCAATTTCTCGCGCCCCGCCAACGAAGGACACGAACAAAAGTGCAAGCGTTTCATATAGTCGTGGTGGGTGCGGGGGGAGCTGGGCAGGTGCATGCAAGGATGTGGTGGATGCAGCTTCTATCCTTTTGGACAGATGCGGTGATGGGAGTGCCGATTTGCAATGCACATCACGTTTTTAGCCACTTTTTTTGGCGACAGGCGGCAGACGCAATGGCGGCGGCGGTGGATAAACCGGAATCGTGGTCGGGGAGGAATCGCGTGCAGACTAAACCGGGACACGTGGACGCAGAGCCCACATTTCCCATTATTATCAATCTTCATGGGGTTGCATATTTTTTTATATAATATCCCGGCTGAGGTATTATTATTCAATCAGCGATGCAGGCTGCGAAAAATAGCGATGAACATGAAAATGATGATGACAGGTTGCGTAAAGCTCAAAACAATTAAATAAGCAACTAATTGAGGTGATTCTCTTATTGTGACCCTAAATTAGCGGATATTTGCGACATCATTTTTGCATTTTATGACAGTGTTTTCTTACCACCTTGAGTTTCCTTTCTTTTTAGGGGTTGGAAAAGCTTATAAGCTTTTCCTAATTATATTCTCCTGGCACATAATCACAATTGGCACATTTTATTGTTGACTTTATTTCAAAAGTTTTCGCCTCCTCTACTCTTCGTTTTATTTTTGTTTTTTTATTTTGGCTCACGGCTAAGCCAACTTTTCGCATTTGGCCAGCAATTCGGTTTGCAGTTCATATATTGCTGTCGTTGGTTGAAAGTTATGCTGACAGTTGTTTAATTTATGCAAAACATTTTTATTTGTTGTTGAAAATTATGCAATACTACACTTTTTGTTTTAAATGGGTCAAAGGAGGAGGTTTCAGCCATCTAATTAAGATAAAAGCAAGGGGAAAATAGTATATTTTGGCACAGAACATAAAATATATGAAGAGAGAAGATACTTTTGATTAAAAATATATTAAAATAATAAAATAATGCTTTCCAACTTCATTAACTCCCGGAAGTGGTTCACTCATTTTTACATCCAAGACTTCCATTCTTCTCCTTCAAAGACTGAAATCCATTACATAATCAGGGGTAAAGATCCCTTGGGAGCCACTCCGGCAATAGATCATCATTTGCATGCCTTATAAATGTTCTACACATTTCGGGATAAAACACAAAGGAACAAACGGAAAACACTTTAAGGGACATTCAAACCGGGGGGCCAGCCACAGGACTCGATTGAAATATAAAAACCGCAAGAACACAAAGTATAAAAGACGGAAGCGGAAGAAAGAAAATAGAAAACACACAGAGGGAGGCGGAGGTCATAGGACAACACTAAAAAGAAGGCAAATTTTATTTGCATGCGGCTTTTCAATTCCTCCAAGGACATAAAACGCAGGCAGGGGAACCCTTTCGATGATGGAAAATAAAGTAGAGTTGTAAACCAGGAACAGAGCGAGCAAGCGAGAAGGATATACATAGGGAGGCGCGGCGTCTTAACAATTTCCTGCCAACTTCTGCTTCATTGCATATTTCCGTTTCCTCCGGACTCCGGCTATGGCTCCGGACTAGACTGCTCCCCAGGAATCTCTGGCACATATGGAAAAGCGTCGACAGCCGGCCTGGAAAAATTCTCTTTCTCTCCAGCCTTTTTCGCTCCTTTCTCTTTTACGATTTGCAATTATTTTTGCTCATTTCAGCAGAAGCAAACATGCCCACAATTCCTTGAGGGACAACTGGCAGACAGAGTCCCGAGTCCTGTCAACACAAATAGTGGCAATCGTCGTGACTCCTTCTTCGACAATTTACATAAGTTGATATTTTTCGAGTTGTTTCACTTCGACATCCCGCCAGCCAGACTTCGATTCCTTCGTGTTTTGTGTGCTCAGTTATTTGTCCGCCCGAGTAAAGTCCTTTTGACAAAAGACAGAAGGACGCGGGAGTTGGAGACTTACAACATGGAAAGCATTTTAGCTGCAGCAAATGCGATATCAGAGATCTGCTGCACTTACCGTCTCCTTCTGGTCCTTAATGCGTTCAGGATATCATCGCTTCGGGGAAGATGATGCGACGATTGTCTTTGGTAGTTTATTAATTCGAGGAAGGGGGCTAGAAGGCACTTGTCTGACAAACTGAAATGGATGAGACAATAAGTCAATGTTTAGGCTTTGGCAGATGAAAACAAAAGAGCAAATTAGAGAAGGAAAGCTTCAGTTTTCCAGAAATTCTAAGGCAGTTTCCGTCGTACTGATATAATTAGGGTACTTAAAAGAAAACTTTTGAAGATATTACAAGTTATCTAATAGGAATATAAAATAGCACCGTTATTTATATAATTAATTGATATATATATAAGAGGAAATCCAGTAAATTAACCTATGAATCCCTTCCCTTTTCTATTTTGATTACATTATCCTTTAATCCGCTAGAGTTCGCCTGATTAAATGGTAAAGTCCTGGAAGCTCTCCGCCCGTATACTCCCTGACATGGAGCTGTCAACATGTGGCGTTAACCCTCATGCCTGGCCAAAAACCTCACCCTAAATTGCCTTCGTAAAAAACAGGAGCTAGCAATTGGCAAATGAAAACTGAAACACAGGAAAAGTGCCAAAACATTTGCCTTTGAAGAGGCGACTCTGATCTCCTCCTCTTTCCTCGACTCGGGCGTGTGCGGAAAATCAAAATAAAACGCTTTTCGTTTCATTTGCAATGAAATTTTCGCAAGTGCTGCTGCTGCTGGGCCTGTCTTTGTTTTGTCTGCCCGTCCTGCCTGCCCGCCATTGAATCGAAATCGTTTTCCAATACACAGTATTGAATACAGTAGAGGGTTTTCCTCGGAGTTTCCCCGCCAGTTGCGGGGGCATTTTCTATGCACGTCATGTGGGCAATCAGCGCTCATGTCCATGGGTTACTTCTTTTTGGGCTTAGGTCCTGGTTTGGGGTCCTGTGTTTTTGCTTGCCCCGCCGTTTTCCGGGTTTCCCCGGTTGGGGAATATCTATTTTCAGTTTTATTTCTCACTCGGCTCATGAATATTTAACGGCCAACAATTGACTATGATTGTTATGTTTGTCGGTGCCTCGTGTTTTACAATTAGAAGGGATATAGGATTCGGAGCTCGAAGCGAGATTGATTTTCCCTTTAGCCTTTATATATTTTCATTTATCAATTTGCTTAACGCAAAAGCAAAGAAATTGCAATTTTAACGCATGACGGGGCATTCTCAATGCGCTCCAAGCCAAAAAAAAAAAATAAAAATATATATATAAGGGAAAAACTCAAAGCACTTGAGCCATTTTCTACTTCTCTACTTAGACAGCGTCGCGTAATCGAATATAAATTGAATTTTTTCACAACAAATGGATTTTCCTGAAGAGTTTTCCTTTGCCAGCTTACCTCTCGACTTCATTCAAATGAAATAAGCAAAAGATTAATATTATGCATTAATATTGGAGGAGAAAAGAAAGAGAAAAGTAGGAGCAAAGTCTCTCTGAAGCCATATAAATAAAATATAAAATATATCCTTGAGCAGTCGGGCTCGACTTCCTTTTTGGCAACATCTATTCTTCTATTGGCTTGTCTAACTTAATAATTAAATATTTTTGGCCAAGTTCCAGGCCTGTCAATTTTCGGATTTTATTGAAAAATGCTGCCAATGCAATTTTGTATAGCTTGTGGGGGTTTTTTTATATAAACACAAACAGCTTTTAATACTTGAAACTTATTTATGTTTAATCTTTAATATTCACAGAAATTTTCAGAATTTTTGTAGTAGTTCTCCCTATAGACTGCTTGTCTATATTCGGTTCAGTCCACTCACCTTAATAAAAGTATATATTTCGCAATTTTTCGCACGCACTTTCTACCAAATCCCCCTGTTCCCCTGTCTGATTGAATATTTTGTTCGTTTTCCATTTTAAGCTGTCTCCAGCACTTGTATATTTTTTCCCTGTATGGCGTCGTGTTTTGCACTTGATGCAGACATACGTACATATATTTTGCATTTATTGTGGCCAGACCTGGCGTAATGTATGCTCGTCACGTCTAGCCACTTGTGTCCTGAGCCCGAGTCCCCTAGTCCCCGCTTTTCCAAGTTTCCCCTTCCGACATTCACTTAGCGCTAGGACTGGGCTGAACCTCTTTTGCATATTGATATGGCCAAAGGCGAAATCCACTTGCTATCGCGTACATTTCCCAAACAAAATTAACATCTACTTATGTATAAATATTAGTAAATATTTCACACTCATCACTGGCATGTACACATTATTTAGTTAAATACAAAAATAGTTTAAACCCCGAGAGTTTGGCGTTAATTGCTTTGTATACTCCAAACATTTTTGGGGCACGTGCTCAAGTGCCCTGTCTAGACGAAAGAGTTCTCTTTCTCATTCAGGTAACAGCCGAAAACAAATTAAAACAAACAGAAACACATTTCGAAAAACTGACCAATCTCAAGCAAAAATTCTAAAAATGGCCCTTTTGAAATTTTGTTGCAAATCGTTTGCTCGTGTCCCATAAAAGTGCACATAAAATCAAAAAGTGGTGAAAAAACAAGGAGAAAAGGGGTTGAGCAGGGTCCGGGCCTCAAACCAATTTCAAAACATTTTCGCATGGCACGCTAAGCAATTAAAGGGGCCCATCCAAAACTCTAGCAATGCACTTAGAAAAATAAATGTAATACCAATTAATTATAATTAATACAAAATTTATAAATTGATGGAATGTTTATTCGAGCATCTAAATTAAAATTTGGTTTCATTGTAAATATAATTCCCAAGATTATTTTAAATCAAAGAAATGCCATTGATAAGATAATTAACATTTTTAAAAATGTTTTAAATTATAATAAAAATTAAAACTATTTTTTTCAACCCTAGGAAAGGATCTTCCCTTTACATAAATAAGAAACAAAGGCATTAAGTTATTTTTTCGTACACTATAAGACATATTCAGTGGCATTTTCTCTCCGTGTTGGTTGCATGTGGCAAACTTCTGGCTTCAAACTGGCGCCCAAATGGCGGACATGACGACGGCGGCGCCTCAATGTCAGGCCATTAAAGTTTAGTGGGCGATTTTGCATAGTCCTGCGTTGAGCCACCGAAAAAGGCGGAAAAAGGGAAGAAAACCGGGGAAAGGAAACGAACTAAGGCGGCAGCGCCAAAGTGCAGCAGACGTTTTGTTCCTGCCCCGCCCATCACCCACAGAGGCCGAAGGACAACCACCACCGCCCACCAAAAGCTTTGGCCGAAGCTCATCAAGCCGAAAAAGTTTTGCCAACGATAAATCATATTTTTTTCGGCTGCTTGTTAACTCGTTCGCTTAAATTAAGTTGAGCATTAAGGCGGCAAGGAGGCGAAAGGCGAGACCCAAAAATGGAACCTAAAATTTTATGTAATTTTAAGAATTTCCCGGAAACATTTTCCCTCCTCCAGAGGAAGGGGAAATGCGGCGTCGCGGCTGACAGCTAATGAAAATATTTGCCGGAAGAGGCGGGGCCAGCTGCTTGAGTGTCGGCTAATTAGCGTTTCTTGGTATTCAAACTAGAACTTTGCTTTATTTCAACTGCCGGGGGAAAGCTTTGAATAAATAAATTCAGCTAATTGTTAGAAGTGCAAATAAATACTGGTAATTGTTTAAACGAAGTAGGGAAAAGTGGTGTCAAAATGGAAAGAGTTAATCAAGGGAATGTTTAATTTTGAATATTATTATTCAAGTTAAAATCTGGTTTTCCTGAGCAAACTACTTGCATATTCCCCGAGTATCAGCTGTGATCAAACATCCTTCTGCGATTACCCCCTTGACATCCATCAAATCCTAGCTCGCCTCTCCCCTTTCTGTGCCATCCACTTCGTGTGATTACTCACAAAACAGAGCTCTGGGAGGATAACCTATACGCTTCCCACATCCTTTATTCCACCTCCCACCCTAATCACAACACCAGCAAGTCCCTGGACGCGGGCCGCTTGTTATTGTCATTGTTATCAACGCTGTCAAGCTGGAAATGGCGAATAGCTGCAGCAACAAGAACAACAACTGGGACAGGACATGCCGTGGATTCCCCGGTCCTTGGTCCTGTAGTGTCTCGTGTGGGCATATGTTAAACATTTTGACACTTTTGCGCACGAAAGCCTCCAACATCCGCCGAACTTTGACATTGTAATGGAACTTGATGAGGGTTCTCCTCCTGCCTCCATGGAATTCCTCCTCCATCACTCGAACTATTTTAAATGTCCAAATTCCCAAAAAACCGATGTCCCAGAATTTGTAACCATTTTGTGCGCCCTTGGTATTTGGACATTCGGATTGTGTAACTCTGCCACAATAATCAGCGAACTTAAATCAACAACTGACGCTATTTTAGATGGTGTTAACGGGAGGGAGAGCGGGCATTGAACCCACTAAACCACGTTAGTGGTTGGCACTCTGCTTTGCCGCGGTTGCTCTTCAATGATTTTGAGGATAGCGAAAAGGGGGTATCCTGTTATATTGAAACTTAATTAAGTGCCGAGCCAGGGTGCAGTGGAAAATTTAGCTGTTCCAACGAGTCCAAAAGGAAAATGGTTGTCCAGCGGTCAAGGGGCAAATGCTAACAGTTTTGGTATCTGTGGAGGCAGCTTTGTTGCTAGTTGATTTTTGTCATTAAATTGGTTAAATCATAGTAAATATGATTTCTAAATGCTGTGGAAAATGTATTCTTATATAAAAATACTTTTTAAATGTACCAAAAATATGTAAAGTTGAAAACCAAAATGATGGCAATCTATTTCTTGAAGAAACCCCTTCATTTAACTTTTAAAAACTACATTTTATTCTTAAAGAATATTTGTATAATTTCAATTTACCGTACTTCAAATTTTCCAGAGATATATATCAAAAACAATCTATTTATCTCACCCCACTCCGCGCCTCCTCATGGAGGCTCCCTGCAAATCCCTATGGCTTTATCTACATCTCTACCTGTTAGGCCCTTCTTCCGTTAATATTAAAATCCATTTTAAATGCACTTCGATAGGATCTTCCGTGGGTTTCCCCAATCTTTCAGTAAATATCACCTTGAATATGTAATAAAAAATTATGTAGAGACAGTTAATACCCGCGAGACAAAAGACGGCTGGCTTATCGGAATATATTCCCCTTGAACTCCTCCTTACTGGCAGCAAACAATTTCGGAATCGCTTCCTTTCGGCTGCCAGCGAACTTTTTGGGGGTAAGTCTCCCTCCCTTTCCAGCACTTTTCCCCTACCCGCACTGTGTCTGCCAATTTACGTTATCGTTTTCAAATTGAAAATTTGCGTAATCACATTTTAAGTGAAAATCGCTTTGCAAATGAAATTAAATCGATTTCTTTAAGGCGGCGTATAGGAGGAGAGATGCCAACACGCTTGTAAATATACATTATGGCTTTTCATTTCCGTTTCCGCTGTTTGGCAGCGAAGCTTTAAGCTCTGAAATATGCAGTTTCCCCCCTGCAATGTCGCGACGTTGCATCTCAAAGAGCCATCAACGTCATCAAATCGTTAGTCAAATACGGGTAGAAAAAAGATATAGCCAAGTTCTTTGCTCTTCTTTCAAGTCTCTCGTGGCAATAAAAATGATGAAGTACTGTGAGAGTTGCAAGTGCGAAAGAATAAGATGGAGAGAAAGAAATGATGAGTGAGAGCGAGAAAGTTGGAATTTCTGGCATTACTTGCATAGCTTTTGTCTTCCAACAGCGAATAGAAAGGGTAAACTTGAAATTCCGGGATGTCTGGCTATGTAAACTATATATATTTGTTTAAATGAAATCATTAAATCATTGAAACCAACTTCAAATATTACAACAAGTTAACACAATAAAGACTTTAAAATATTAGCCTTGATGTATATTTTTGTATCCATCTTATTGATTGTTTTTCCGCCCCTTATAGCCTTTTCACCTCAAGGGTTTTTAATCAGAGAGCGTAAGTTTCGAGATCTTTTTACCTTGCTACGATAATATAACTTATATATTTACAGCAAAATGCTTGTATATGGCAAATCCTGGACCCTGCAAGAATTGGGTAAAAGTCTGGGGCTATGATTACATGACCAATCGATGCATTTTCTATTTCTACGGCGGCTGTGGCGGTAATCCTAACAGGTTCTATGAGAAGGATGAGTGCGTGCGAACCTGTCGCGTGACCAGAGAAATGATAAGGTATAAAAGAGAGAGCTTGGACGAAGAGCAGGAGGAGGAGGAGGAGTTCGAGGAGGATATCGACAACTGGGATAGCTTTGAAAATTGGGAACCTTAAAAGCAAATACTCTCAGGAAAGTGTATTCAAATACCGCTCTTCTCACGGAAAAATTGGCCAAAGTTATCTTTTGATTCGTTGAGCAAACGTATAATTTCAGTTTTGAAAGAAAGAACTTCCCGTCGAGTTGCATGTAATGCGTTTTCTTTTAGCCTTTTCCGTTTCCTTTTCCCCACGAATATACATAGTTATTTCTCTCTAGACAAGTCTGCTGGCTGCCAATCTGAGCGGCAGCCATTAGGGCAAACAGTTTGAAGTAATTTGAAAGCTGCACACAGACTCCGCATCGGCTATATGTATATTCCATCCTCGTTATTTATCAACAATTTTATGAGGACCTAGTCGCGATTCTGACAATTTTTGACATGCAATTTGCAGTTTGCCATTCGGATTTTGGCATTTTCCTGCAGGCGGCAATAAGTTTTTGGCAGCGAATGCAGATGAGGCTCATGATGAGCTCGCCATTGTTGTTGGTGTTTTATGACCAAAAATACGCCAGGGGAAAATTCGCAGATGTCTGGCGGAAATATGCTCCCATTTCCGGCTTTAATTTTGTGTTTTTTTTTTCGTGAAGCCACAAAGTAAAATGTCCTACTAATTGGAAAGAATTTAACTTGCCTACCTATGGGCTTTTTCATGGATCTCCAGCGCTCGTTAGGCTTAATTAGCAATCATAAAAGTTGTTCCCAGTTAAATGTCGAACATCCTTATTTGGTCATGTGACACTCTCGTGTCCTGGATGTCCTCAACTGGAACCGAAACCGAATTCGCAGATGGAGGTGTTTCCCAGCCACCTACTTTGCTTGCTGCTCACGTTGCTCCCTCCGCCCAGATCCCCTAAGACTTTTATGACTGATTATGCTGTGTTTCGGCCATTTAATTGCCACTTGGCTCTGGATGTGACTACTTTTATGGTTAATGAGCAACTTGTGGTAATTTAGGGGGGCTCGGGATGGACAGGCATCAGGTGTGCAGACGACAATGGTGGCTCCGGTTCCATGGGGGGTGAGCCAATTAAATGGGTACTATTACCCGGAAGGTGGTGGGCTGAGGACATATAAATTAAAATGAATGGCTCGAAAGGGGATGAAAGGAGGCACAAACTGGGCTGAAAGATCAAACTTTGTCTGGGAACTTTTATCGTATCATGTTCTTGGAGTTTCTAAATTCAAAACAAGAAAGGAAGCTAACTTCGGCTTGCCGAAGTTTGTATACCCTTGCAGATTGGTTTTGATATTTATATTATAAATTTAAATGCTTAAAACACACACAAAACAGAGTTTCATTACATTTTACCTGTACTTATTATGTTTACAGTTTGACAGTTACAGTAATACATTTCCAGCTTTACATTTTCTTTACATCTACGGATCGCTTTTATGGCAGCTATATGATATAGTTGTCCAATTTTCATAATATTGTTACCAAAATTCTGAAATAATACTAAAAGCTCATGTCTCAAAGTAGATGAAAATACGTTGAAAAACAACGAAGTTATAATTTTTATACCCTTGCAGGGTATTATAATTTCAGTCAGAAGTTTGCAACGCAGTGAAGGAGACGTTTCCGACCCTAAAAAGCATATATATTCTTGATCAGCATCAACAGCCGAGTCGATCTAGCCATGTCCGTCTGTCCGTCTGTCCGTCCGTCTGTCCGTCTGTCCGTCTGTCCGTCCGTCTGTCCGTTTCTACGCAAACTAGTCCCTCAGTTTTAAAGCTATCTGAATGAAACTTAGCATATAGTCTTCTATATACTCTCACTGCTATATATGTCTGAACGGGCCGGATTGGACGACTATATCATATAGCTCCCATACAAATGATCGATAAATTTTTAGAAAAAAATTTTAACTTTGCTGTTTATCAACATTTTGGCACTATTTTTCAGATATGGCCATTTTATATTATTTCAGAATTTCGGTAAAAAGTTCATGAAAATCGGACGACTATATCTTATAGCTGCCATAGGAACGATAGGGAAATTAATAGAAAAAAAACTATAACTTCGTTTTTTTTCAACCGATTTTTATCTACTCTGAGATATAAGCTTATTTTATTAGTTTCGAATTTTGGTATAAATTTTATGAAAATCGGACAACTATATCATATAGCTGCCATATAAACCGATCGGTAGATGTAGAGAAAATGTAAAACTGGGAATGTAAAACTGTAACTGTCAAACTCTAAACATAATAAGTATAGGTAAAATGTTATGAAATAATATCTGCAAGGGTATACAAACTTCGGCGTGCCGAAGTTAGCTTCCTTTCTTGTTTTAATTGATGAAAATACTTGAAATACTTGTTGAAATTATACTCACTGTCCTTGGTGTTCACAGGCCTGAATCTGTCCTGTACTCACTAATAGTAGAACCAGGAGAACCCACATATTCTATATTGATCTTAGGAATGGGGCGACTATTCTCTTGGATGCTCACTTGGCAAATGATAATAAAGAAGCATACATTCTCCTATTTTATGTGGAACAAAATTATCAATCCATATTATATTATATATAATGACCCCAATTGCAGTGACAGCATTGACCGCAGAAATTGTGATTCAAGTTAGCTTATTTACTCTTATATATATTTTTGTTTTTGAAGATAATCAGCTGAATAACATTTGGAACAAACCTTACAAAATACCTTTACTTTTCCTTCTATAATCGCTTTAAATACTTAAAAATTTCTTAAATGTAGTATAGAAACAAGAAAATATTTACTTTAAACCAAGACAAATTCACAGCATAAATTTATGGCATTCTGTTTGAATAACCTTAACCATTTGGCATGTAGATCAACAACTCAACTCCCCCAGTTCCTTCTGACATCATCTGTTGCTGGTGTCCGACATCATTTGACGACTGTGTTGTGCGGGCTCAACGAATTGAAAAATCGTTCACAATAAATTAAATTTCACCCAGACTTGTTTCCGGCCCGACACTCTCTCTCTCTCTCTAGCTCAAAAATTTAAATAGGTCAAATATGCATTTAATTTCCGCACGACTGAAATGAATTTGTCTGGGTTTGTGCGAGAGAGCATCCTCCGTTTTCCGTAATGCCAGCAGAAGAGCCTCCCTTCCAGCTGTCAAATACATAAAGCGACGGCAAAGTGTGCCTGCCAGCTCCGCCTGACTGCCTGCTCCTCCTTGACTTCCTGGGCCCAGGAGAACACGTGTTTGGGCCACCTTCTGTTGAGCTTCGGACTGTTTCGTACACTTAACTTATTTGGCTCCATTAAAATCTTGCTAAATAAATATTTAATGCGTGAACAACAACTGGAGATGCGAGGGGAGAGGCAGGACCCTCCTCCCCGGAGGAACCTTGGGAGCAACAGCCTGCCCAGATGATTTATGACCTTCTCTTGGCCCCACAGCCACTGGTCTGGCCTTTTGTTGGCCTCTTCTTTGGAGCTGGCCCCGGACTAATGGCTCATAATTGATTTTTATGCCTATTGTGTTGGCCATCTTGCCCCGCGTCGGCCATTGCGGGTGCCTTTCAAATGGCGCGCACTTAATGCGACGCACTGCACCAGGGCCTCATTACGCAGGATCCTGTGGGCCTGGGGCTCGTATTAAAAACTTATAATTCCTGCTATTGGCGGTGTATTACATAAATCCGTTTTATTGCCGCAAAAAGTTTGGACTTAATGAAGCAGTGGCAGGCAAATGGCTTCCTGGTTCCTGGTTAAATATTGTGGCCATGGAGATTGCCTTCAATATGAAGTTGATTCTTTAGAAATAATTATGGGCCTAAGCAGCTTTAATATTTAAGTTAGCTGCTGCTTGATACGGATTCCTGTTCAAGAAACAAACAAAAGAACAAAGAAGTACTTAAAAAATAGGTAGTTGCCTTAAATAATATACTAAATACATAAATTTACCTTTTTTATTTAAAGATATTGTACTTTGTGAGTCCTATCAACAATTCTACTATTTGTTGCTACAATAGAAACCCCTCCTCCTGAGTCGATTTAATAACACCAATAAGATGCCACAGCCAACAGACCAGAGACTCTCCCCATCTACATTTCCTCCCTCCCTCCCTGTTGTCTTTAACCAAAATCTAAATAAATAAATGTCCGCTTTGGACACCTACAGACGTGCCCAGCTGAAGGGGAAGCTGCTCCACCAGGTCCATGTGCAGTCACCTTCTAGAGTTCCGGAGGCAGAGGGCCAGGGCATTCCGGGCATTTCATGCGTTTACTTTAATAATGCGCATAAATTGGGAGTCGAGTTCTCGGACCTTTTGACTGCTTCATTCCTCCTGGCTGGGAATCGAGAGTTGGGAGCTGGAAATCCGGTATCGGAGTCGGGGATCGAGTGGCAGCGTGCCTGCGTTTCATTTAGCTTTTGTTTGACTTGGCCCCCTCGTTCCCCTCCTGGGTCGGTCATCTGTCTGCCTGTCTAGTCAGACATTGTTTTCGGATCCCAGACTGACCCCGAGAATATTTTTGCCCAACGTTTAATCTTTAATTTGCCACCACCAAGGACCTCCTCCTCCCCCTATTCTTCCTGCGTGCTTCCGTCTGTCTGTCTATCCAACTGTCGGACTCCGTGTTCCTTCTCCTTCCTCTAGCTAGCCCCAGGCTCAATTTATTTGTTTTCAGCTTAGCTTCTGGCGGGGATTTGGGCGGATAGTAAGGTGCGGGAATGCCGCATTAAATTAAATACTCAGCCGCTTCTCGCACAAAAATTATGCCAGCATTTAAGTGTTTAATATCCGCCGGCGACTTCTTCTGTGGGGCCCACGTCCACTCGCCTCTCCAGGGACCTCTCTGGATATTTATTAGTTGATTTTAATGGAAAAACCCCGGCGAACACTTGGCACACATAATTGTTGCGGGCGGTGACTAACGCCATGACATAAAACTAGAGATTTTTGCGGGAGGAAGGGGCAAATGTATCCTTGGAAGAGCTGATGTCATGCAAATTTAAGGGAGCTTAAGGCAATTGTTTATGGATGGTGAATAAATTAGGGACGAGTCACTGCACAGGATTATTAAAGTATGCTTTTTAAAGGGGGGAGAGTATTAGGTCTCGAGCAAGTTGCTTTGATGGTCTTTTAATGTTTGGGTCCTGGGAGTGACTTTAGATTATTAAACATTCAATAAAACAGTTTGAGAATTT